GGGGGGGGGGGGGGGTTGCAAATTTGGGATTTAGACCTCAATTTGGGATCGGATTCTGAAACTAATTATATAATCGAGCTCGGGGGTGAACGGGTAAATGGATTTTGGTCTGAACCTCGGCGTTTTGACCAAGCAGGCCAGGGGTCGATTTTTTACTTTTTGGGGAAAAGTTTGGAGGATCTAAATTTATGTTATGTAATTGATTTCTTTAGAAATATTTGATATTATTGAGTCGTTTATGAATAGATACGATTGGTTTGGAGGTGGATTCTAGAGGGAAAATGGTAATTGAGCATTGAGTGGCCTTTGGAGCGAGGTAAGTATTGTGTCTAATCTTGACTTGAGGGAATATGACTTGTTTGTCTATTTGCTACATATTTAAATGTTGGAAAATAACGTATATGTGAGGTGACGAGTACTTATGCGTTGTAGTCGGGTTAAAGCATGCGGGCGGGGCTTGGTTTCATGCAATTATAGCTTCCTTTGTTCATGTTATCCATGCTTAGACTAGTATTGTTAAATTTATCGTTCTTATCATGTTTACGGATCTTCTGGTGATAATTGAGTATTGATTCCGAAGTTGAGGTTGTTATTGTGGAACCAAATGTAAACGAAGGTCTGTACTTGTTATTCTATCTCCATGTTGTTATTTGTTCATTATATTATGGTAAGGGAGAGTGTTAATGCACGAAGGGTGATATCGTGCCATATTGTGAATGTTAATGCACGAAGGGTGATGTCATGCTATATTGTGAGTGTTAATGCACGAAGGGTGATGTCATGCTATATTGTGAGTGTTAATGCACGAAGGGTGATGTCGTGCCATGTTGTGAGTGTTAATACACGAAGGGTGATGCCGTGCCATATTATGAGTGTTAATGCACGAAGGGTGATGTCGTGCCACGTTATGAGAGCTAATGCACGAAGAGTGATGTCGTGTTGTATCTATTGATTTACATTGTGAGGCTGAGAGTAAAAGCACGAAGGGTGATGCCGTGCAATTTTCTTCATTGTGTTTAGTTGTTTTCACTGGTTAAAAGCATGTCGACTGTTCTGGTTATCATTTTCAATGTATCTTCTATATCCTATGCCCCTTTAGTATGACCCCCTCCCAATAGTACATGTTTAGCTATTATTGTGGTTTTCTTGTACATATAATGTTATCTGCACATGTTTGTTATGTGGGTGTCTTGTCATAGCCTCGTCACTATTTCGTCGAGGTTAGGCTCGACACTTACCAGTACATGGGGTCGGTTGTACTGATACTGTACTTTGCACTTCCTGTGCAGATTTTGGTATTGGTCCCAGCTGATCGAGAAGCGTAGCAGCTCGAACTGGTTCATCGGAGACTCAAGGTAGATCTGTTGGCGTTCGCAGACCTTGAAGTCCCCGTCTATCTTTTCAGTTTTCTTTTTACTGTTTCTTTGGTTCAAACAGTTATATTTTTTCAGACTTTTACTTGTAGTAAAATTCTAGAAGTTCGTGAATTGTGACTCCAGATCCGTGTAGTAGTATTGTATATATTGAGGTTGCTATAAATTTTCGCACTTATTTTAACTCGTTATAGCTTAGTTGTTGTTATTTACTTAAATGTATAAGAATTGACTTGATGAATTCTCTAGCGTTGGCTTGCTTAGCAAGTGAAATGTTAGGCGCCATCACGGTCCCGACGGTGGGAATTTCGAGTCATGACACTTGTATTACTAGATATTGTACTAACATTGGCTTCTTTCATCACCAAATAAGAGAAATATCTCTTTTCTCTTAAAATAGTATGTGTTGTAGCACTATCCAAAAGACATATATCATCTTTATTGATCTTAGATCTAATTGAAGAGGGAGGAATTTCCATATTATGAAGGATATATGAAAATAAACCTTAAAATGATAATGAAAATGATTAGAGCTTCATGCTCATAACGTGTTATGAAATAAAAATAATATAGCAAGAACTGCGTAATTAACTAGAACTTAACATGAGAAGAGAATACTAATATTATAAGCGAGATTTCTTGTATTTTCCACTGTATCGAATAGGTTCATCATTGAGCATATTTATAGAAATATTTTGTTGTTACAAAACCAATCCAAAACCTGTTATGAATACAAAACTATTCTGAAACCTCCACTTGCAGGATTTATAACAGATCATTTTATTATGTCTTTTTAAATATGGGAATGATAACGCTTCGTTCAATATTTTAGTGAGAAGAAAGTCTAACTTTTCATTAGCCTAATGAATTATTTATGATTTGTTATAAAAATTATTAAATCATAAAAATATTTTTAGATTATTATAAATTATTTTCGATCCAATTAAAAGAAAAACATCTCACGGAGCTCCAATTAGAAGAGTTTGAGTGAAATAAATATGTCTGGTACAACACAAATATGAACAATCAAAAAGATATTCACTCAAACAAATAAGAAGATACTATTATTTTCTTTTTATTTGTTTCAACTTCCAAACAACAAATCAGTAGAGAAAAGAAAGCGCGCGCGCGCGCACACTATAATAGAATAGTCGTTTTTCGTTCCTGGAAATGTAAACCCTTGGTACCCATTTCCCCCGAGTCCTGAAGAAGCTACTACGCGATGAAGGACTAAACATAGAATGAAGAAACATTGTATGTTGAAACCTCTATCAACAACCCTAATCCAAATATCCCACGCTCCGATCACCTCTTTCACTACGCGCCGCCGCGCCCTCTCTTCCTCTTCCTCTTCCTCTTCCTCTTCCTTCGCGCTCAAGAATGTTACCAAATCGAACTTCGAATCAGCTCTCAATGACCTACGAGGTCTTGTACGCGACGCCGATTTCGTCGCCGTCGATTTGGAAATGACCGGAGTAACCAGCGCTCCTTGGAGAGATTCCTTCGACTTCGACCGATATGATATTCGTTACCTCAAAGTTAAGGACTCCGCCGAGAAGTTCGCCGTCGTTCAGTTCGGCGTTTGTCCTTTCCGTTGGGACTCTCACAAGCAATCCTTTCTCGCGCATCCGTAAGTCTTCGTTCTTTCATTTCTATTAAGTTAATTACAATTGTTATGATATGCATTAATTGGTAAACTAACAGACATTGTAACTAACGCTATAGTGATAGTCACCGGTGACCCAGTATTCTGTACAAGCGAGTCCATCAAAAATCACGGTAATCAATTGTATAAGTGCAGCGGTAAACTAAATTTGTGCACTGCTCTTTTTTTTCATCAAGTCACTTCAAAATGAAGTCATTTTTTTCAAAAGGTAGGGGGAAATTTTTAAAAAATAACAAAGAAAATTTCGTCCATTAATTTGTTTAGACATTTATCTATATAAATTAACAAATTCAGAAATTTAGCAATTTTAACCAAAAAGTATTTAATCTACTTAAAAATTGTACTATAAATTTAAGAAAATTAACATAGAAAGTTGTTGCAAACAAAAAACATGAAAAAAAGATTAATGAACTAAACTAATTTATACAAATTATTAAAGAAAAAGATATTTTACACCAAACTAAAGCTTTGAATATAAAACAATTTCAATATAAACTAAACTAAACTAAACTAAATTAAAAGATTACAAGTAATTTCGATAACGTACTAGAACAAAAATTCACTTTGTAGATAGAATTAAATTTTTCTTAAGGAGTTTAATAAAAATAGAATTTATTGGATTTAAATAAAAAAAGAATCATAAAGCGATGTAAGAAAACAAAGACAAAATAGGAAACAATAGGCAAAATAATATATACGTTCAGCAAAAAGGCCATAGTTAGTTCATTGCATTAGGAGCGGTTCGAACTTGAGACCTCGGGCTTACTTTGAACCCACTTTGCCACTGCTCTACGGCTTCTATTAGTGTCAAGCGGGTTCAAGTATTATAATATTTATTAGATTTATAATTTTCTTATGAAATTCCAAGGTAAAAATAATTAATTTTTCCAACGAAGCGGGTTCAACTGAACCCCCTTCCTACAAGGTGGGTCCCCCCTGGTGATAGTGTATATTACTTGAATGCTTTGATTTTTTTGTGAGTGTTTTTCAGTATCTTCAGAATGCAAAGTTTGTTTCTTTGAATGATAAAAGATAATGTATTTTATTAAAATATCCTCTAAGCTAGTGATTCAAAAAAGTAGCTACTCGTTTGTTTCATTTGCTTTTGGTGAAATGCAAGGTTTGTTTCTTTTGCTTTTGGTGAAATGCAAGGTTTGTTTCTTTTGCTTTTGGTGAAATATAGATTATCACCTAATTGAGCAGCGACCTACTTTGTTTGACTTAGAGATGTTGCATATTGCACTTTCTATATCAATTCAGCTCTATTTGGGCTCACATTGCGATACTGGTAAATCATACTTGTTTCTTAAAAGAAGGAAAGAGAGAAAAACATGTTCTTTTAAGGGGAAAAAGCAGCGTATATTGTCTTCATCAGTTAATATTATATTCCACCTCTCAGATCTGCTGCTTTGATTTCTCTTTGGCAGACATAACTTTTATATATTCCCACGGCAAGAAATCCCTGGTAGCAACCAATCCTATGAGTTCCTTTGCCAGACAGCCTCACTTGATTTCCTGGCAAAATACCAGTTTGATTTCAATGTGTGCATACGTGAAGGTAATTCCTTAACACCTTGTTTTCTTCTCTTGGACAACTTAATGAGATTATAGCACGTTTTGCGATTCGGAAACTTTATATTAACTGCTAGTGCCAGCCTTGTTCAAAATATATTGATCTGCATCGGCTTTTCTGAGTCATATGAGGTGAGTCACACGAGTTACACAAGGATAGTTGGAACATTAGTTTACTGACTTGAACCTATACCTTTCTCGGCCTTTGGCTAAGATCAAATGTACTGACTGAAGTTGCGGAAGTGATCCTGAGTTTTTTAGTATACAAAATCATACTAGGTTTTTTGCTGTCTTTTGGCTTTTAACTTTATCAACTTACTAGATTTTCATTGGATGGAATTTGAAAGAAAGGTTTAAACTTAAACCATGAAATCATGAATACCAGCAAACCCATGTCAAGTTTTTTAAATGTTAGCGTTAATTTGTATTATACACAGCAGAACAACGTATAGAATTCATTTATTGGAATAAAGTTCCTGCGATGCATCCAGCATCATGATACGTTCTTTTAAAAGTTTGTGACAGAACGTAAGGACTGCGAACTTAAGAGTTGTCTATTGAGATATTAGTTCCTAACTCCACACCACCCCCATCCCACCCCCACATTATATAAGTAGTTTGACTTACCTATGATGGGCTGTCTCTTTGAGTCACATTGTTTTTCTCTTGCAATTTGGATACATTATGTTACATCTTGCACTGGAAGCATTCTATAGAATTGGCTTTATCAAATAGAACGTTTTACATTTTAGTCTCTTTGCTACCACTGTAAGTGGTAAGCTGCAAATATCGTTAGTTTCATCTCCAAGTAGGTGAACTGATGTGCTGTCAAACATAGATGGTTTTGGTTGGTGAGCTGTTATACTTTGTTAAGTTTGGATTTTAAATTTTCAGAGACTTAGTCACTGTTTAGATTTATATTAGAGTTATGCACCCAGTGAATTTCTTTTTAGCTAGCTCAGTTATCTCTTCATTGCTTTCATTTTTGAGATTTTACACTTCTATTGTAATCTCAGGAGTCTCTTATTTATCCAGAAGCCAAGAAGAGGAAGCACTGGAACGTATAAGTTCAACATTCATGGATGAATCATCGGATTCCGTGTATGGCTTGAGAGAAGATGCAGAGTTTCCATTGATTAGGATGGCAGATGTTCTATTTGCTGAAAGAATGAAGAACACAATAAGGGAATGGCATGCTAGTTTGTTAAGTAAGGGAAGCAGTAGCTCTGAAATTAAACAAATGTCAACTGATCCAAACCAGAGATTTCAAATGGTTTTCTTCAAGACCCGTCCAGCCCTTGCCCTTAGTGGGTTTACTTCTCGCCAGCTAAGGGTGATTAAATCGGTAACAAGCTCTTCTCTTCCATTTCATTCTTTTCTTTTTGTACTAGGATCAACTTATGATGTGAGACTGTGAGAGCATCTTCTTTTTTCCAATGTTATCTAGTGTTTGTTTTTTGTCTAAAAGTTTGTATAAGAGGATGCATTCTTTTTATTTAATAGTATCAGTTATACCTTTTCTTTGTTCCTCGGCAATTCCCCAGAAATGAGAGGAGTGCTAAAGTATATAGTTATACTTATTGATATGCTATTGTTCTCTGATGATGATTGACTTTGTGAATTGGAAAATCCAGGTCACTAAAAAGCATTTCAAAGATCTATCCTATATCAGAGTAGCTGGCGAAGCAACATCTCCGCAGCAATTGATTGTCTATACAGATTCCAATGATGACAAGGATCTACTGATGGTAAGGTCTAACGGCTTTGATTCATAAAGAAAGTTCTTGTTGAAACATCACATGATATGTACATATTGATTACATTTGTGACCATTGCGGTACGTTCCAGTTTTTTAAAGTCTATAAGTACTAGTTATAAACCTTCTTTGTTTAGTAGCTGTTATTATTGGTATCATTTTTGCCAATATGAGGATCTATTCTCTTTATTAACTATTTATGATAATTTATCTAAATGGGATGAGTAATTAAGTGAAAACCTGTGAGTAAATAATGTTTGAGTTCCATTTCCCGAAAGAGTTCTTTAAAATCACCTTGGATTAAGATAAAGCGTATAACGATGAGAGAAAGAAAATAAGTGATTCCTTGTCTGATCAGTACCTTGACTGTGTCTCATCATATCTATTCATGTCTTAACATCAAGTAGAAAGAGGTGAAGGAAGGCCTTCGTAAAGAAGCAGAAATAAAGGTCAAATCTGCTGTTGGATTTCGACATGTTATTGATCTTCTTTCCTCGGAGCGGAAGTTGATTGTCGGACACAATTGCTTTCTTGGTAAATAAATCCTCTTCAGTTTATGGGAAAGCTACTTTTTCTATTGCAAATTTTGCTTAACACTTATATACAATCAATGCAGATATGGCGCATATATACAGTAAATTCATTGGTCCACTACCTTTGACCGTGGAGGACTATGTGTCTTCCATTCAGAAGTACTTTCCTTGCATAATTGACACCAAAATACTCTTGAATGCAAACGGTGTTTTTCAACAGAGAGTGAATAAAAGCAGCACATCACTATCCAGAGCGTTTGTCTCTATCTGTCCTCAAATTGCATTAGGTGTCAAAACTTCTGGTTTGGCTGATAGACCGTGTGTAGAAGTGGAGGTTCAAGTTGATGAAAACAGGTTTACTACCAATTTTACTCAACTCTTGGTACTGAATCAACATGATGCTCTTTTGTTACTTTATATGTGCTTACCATGTGCCTGGATGTTTCTAGCTTGACCATTGATTTTGATTTACATCTTTTACACTATCTTTCTTTAGCTCCTGCATGCATTTGACTCTGTGATGTTTCACTTGACCATTGATTTGCATCAAGGATTATGAACTGTGTTTGCTTTGCCTCTTTGGTATATTTCCTTAGCTTGTGAAGAAAATTTCTCTTCTTTCAACACCCCTGTTGCTTAAATCTATTGCTCTGTATCTCAATTTATAAGATCAGAATGATTTATGTGAATAATCCCTATCTCTAATTTAAGTTAATTTGCAGATTCTTGAACTGGAACTCAGGGGCCAAGCATGAAGCTGGCTATGATGCATTTATGACTGGATGCATTTTTGCACAGGCGTGCAATCATCTAGGCATTGATTTCACCCTCCATGTGCTTGCTGGAGGTTTACCCAAGCAGACAAAGCTTCAGAATTATATCAATCGCCTTTACCTTAGCTGGGTTAGTGGAGACATCATTGATCTAAGTACTGGGAAATGTACAACAGACACCTCAGCTTCTAGTAACCTCAAAAGTCGGTACCAGGAGATTTCATTTCCTAGCATCGTTTTGTTGTGGGGATTACCATCTAAACTAAAAGCAAGGGAGATCAAAGCTTGTATAGTAAAAGTCTTTGGCCCAAATTCTATTTCCTCTATCTACCATTTGGATGAAAGCGCCGTCTTTATTCAGTTTAGCAAGCCAGAAATGGTTTCTAAGTTTCTGGAAATAAAGGAAACTCTAAGTAAGAACAGCGATCCAATTTCAGTGTTGCATCCTCTTTCGGATATTCTGAACGCCGACTGCACTCACGCAGCTAACTATGATGTGTATCAACAAATATGCAGTTCACCCATCTCAAAGAAATTATTTGCAGATCAGGCTGAAGCTGTTGGTATCAAACACAAAACAGCATCATCCAGGGCAGAAGGGAAAAAAAAGGGAAACCAGGTATTTGGCAAAGAAAACGAAGTTAGGGTGTTTGATAAGAAAGTAGATGATATGATGAGTTCATCGTATGGTTATTCTGAAACGGATAGATCTGCCGATTCTTTTCATCTAGATGAAGCTCTGGCAAGCAAATAGATTGTTTTCGTAAATTTTTAGGCCCAAATTCATGTATATCTAGATCATTGTTGGCCAGATGTAGAGATCTGTTTTTCCGGATCCCTACAGCTTCATAGTGCTGTATTTTTGCTGATAAATTCTGTAACATAATAGTGAGGTTGTAATGTAGATGTTGAAGAGCTACCTGTTAAGAAAAAAGCGATATTATCAAAAAAGCTAAAGATCAATTTGTCATTTTAATGCTTCTTCATGAGCAGATATCAATCTATTTGCCACTTCATTTATCTTGGGCCTTTACAGTTTTGTAGTAACAATGTGTGTGCCAAACACTATAGTAATAACACAAATTCTGCTTGAAAGTCATATAAATCTAAAGAGATACTATAAGAATCTTTTAATGCTATCATGTAACAGTATTATAATCTATATTGTTCCTAAAAATGTTAAAAATAACAAACATCAAATACTGGAGTGCTAAATAATAGCTCCTAGAATTGATTTAACTAAACTTTGGTGCATGCATTGGGTAAATATTTTTTCCATTATCCAGCCCCACCCACCCACACACACACGTAAAGGAAAAGTCATATATAGGATAATGCTTAGTGTATAGTTTTTGAAAATGTTGAGTGCAATATTTCTTCTTTTTTGAGGACAAGACATTAGTAGTCGTAACTTGTATGTTCAATTTCTTAGGCCTTCTATTCTTGGTCAGATCGCCAACTATCTATAATTCGGGGTACTGAAATTTTTTATTTCAACTTTCAATTTTCAAATTCAAGCGAGGAAAAAAATATTAGGTGATACTTTCCATTCGTTCAAAACTTAATGGATAGAATTATTTGGTACATGTGTTGGCAGAATGTAGAAGGTAACATATACTCCATGGAATTAATCAAGATGCGTGTAAGTTGATCCGGGCACCATAATTATAAAAAAAATATTTTCTTTTCAACTTTAAGCAAGTATAGTCCAAACCCCTGCTAACTCTGTTTCATAATGTTCAGTCCTCGGATGCTTGAGTATCAAACGAAGTCATTATCTTAAAACCAGAAATAGCTAAGCATGACATCAATTGTGGCTTTGAAGGTTCATTATCATGAACACTTATTCCACGTAAATTCAGTATAATAGAGGTTACTTCTGTCCAATGCTATAGATGTAATAAATATACATGAAAAGGAACTTCCCTTCTCTTTGCCTTTTTTTTAGCTGATTCTCATTTCTCTATATCCAACGGAACATCCAAATATTACCCCAACACAGAATTAAAGTTCTCTGACCCCACCCACCTCTTACAGTCTTCTCATTTTCTCTATAAAAATTTGTTATATGTGATGTAATTCATCATCTTCATGCCCCTCATTTCTTTCTAGCTACTGCTACTAAGCTTATTCTCTTTTAGTCCAAGAGTTTGTCATCAACTCTTGTTTATTTATTTTTTTGAATCATTCCAGAAAACCAACATCATTTCTCATGCAAGAAAATAAACTAAATGTTTATATACTGTTTGTTTTGTCAGTGGATATATCAGTTCAGATCATGCTTATAATTTTGGCTTGACAGAATAGAAGGAATGTGAAAAGATTAATCTTTGAGGAATTCTGTTGACAGAAGAGAGAGAGCACAATCTGTCATGAGCAAAATGATGATGTTGCTGTTTGTTGGAATGTGCTCTCTCTTCTTCTGCCAATCGGAACTTAAATATCCTTTTCGGATCCTCAACAAAGATTAACACATTTCACATTCATAATGAACATAATCTAATGTGCTAAGAAATTAGCCAAGAGTGAAAAACATTTCCGGTTGTTCACATCAAACTAGAAGGGCTTTGTTAAATCCTACTACAACACAAGCCAGAAGTCATTACTGTATTGCTGTTAAATGTTCTGTTTCTAGAGAGTAGATACATACATGTTCTGTAAATTAAATGGACGTGAACTTACATTACACTACACAAAAAACGTTACAAGTCTTTATTAGTGTAGCATTGGTAAAGGATGTTCTAGTAATGCTGAATAAGGATGTTGCTGAAGTTTTATTCAGTTTCAAGCCTTCATTTCTAGTTAATAGGCAAACTGAAGATATTATCTTATTTTGGTCCAAGCACTGTTGCATAGTTTTCTTTGTTCAGCATATTGACTTGCTCAAAGTCCCAATAGGTACATAGCTGAAAAGACATCTAGTTTGAGGAGTAATGCAAGTTTGTATGGTCGTTTATGGACAACTCAACCTGCAAGCTTATAACAGCGTATTTCTGTATCAATTTTGCTTTTAAGCACATTTATTTGACCCTTCAGCAATTACACTGTAAATACTTTTTATACAAAGGAAGAGCGATTTTCAACTTGTGCATAATTGCTGTCTGACTCTTGAGGAGATAGATACAATTGAAGAGAAACAAGTTTTAATATTTCATATGTCCAGTATATCTTCTGAACCAAAAGATCGATGTTAACATGGCATACTCTGGTAAACAATGATGAACTGAAAGTCATTACAATAATGAGAGGTCATGTGATCAAAATTTAGCTTTGCTTATTGAGTATTTTATTATACTAAAAATTGTATAAAAGGAGGATGCCTTAAACTTTCCAAGCCATTGCAAGTACACAAACCAAATGTCATCCAAATACTAACAAGAAATCATTCTTCATCTGTCCAGCATAATCTTGAAGAACTCACTATTACATGAACAACTCTTCTCAGAATAAGCAGATATTTTCAAACATTTTTTTCGGCTAGTTCTACTTTCATAACTACTGTTAGCAGTAAAAAGGGAAAAAAAGAAGAAGGTGCAGAAGATGAAAGAAATGGCATGTCAATCAGATTAGATTGAACAACTGAAAAAGTTAAGGAAAAGGGACAAGAGCATATGAGTTCAATATATTGGCTTTGAACTCAGCTAGTTAGCTTCCCTCATGTCAAACATAGTGAAAACTATAGTATATATCAGCTCTCATTAAAATCGGACATCAAAAAAATGAAAGAATTTCTAGCTATATATTGCAGAAACTTCACAAGACATTTACTTCAATCTACTCTGATTTCAAACTCAGGTTCTGGTGCTGCCTCATTGTCTTCGTCGTCTGAGAAAATGTCATTAATACTGAAAGGCAGACTAGTGGAGAAAGTTAGCGTCGGTTTCACTTTCGGAACAAAGATAGGCTCAGCTTCATTGTTGAGGATCTGAAATACTCTTCTCATACAAGGTCTTTCCATACTATCAGGATTTGCACAGCTTAAACCAACAAGTAGCAGCTTTCTCATCTCTTCCTCTTTGAAGTCACCATTTAGCCTATTGTCGGCTGCTTCAATTATCCTACCTTCAGAGTATAGCCTCCAAACCCAATCAACCAAATTCACCATTTCATGACCACTCCCTTCTCCCTCTATTGGCCTCCTCCCACAAGCCACTTCTAGTATAACCACGCCATAGCTGAAAACATCAGTTTTCTCGGTTGCCTTTCCATATTGAAGGTACTCAGGAGCAAGGTATCCCATTGTTCCAGCTGTAAGAGTCGAGACCGGACTCTTGTCATGATCCATAAGTCTTGCCAACCCAAAATCGCCAAGCCTCGCGTTGTAGCTGACATCAAGCATAATATTGCTGGCTTTTATATCTCTGTGAATCACTTGCTGCTCACATTCTTGATGCAAATAAGTCAGAACAGAGGCCAAACCAACAGCTATATTATACCTATAAGGCCATTTCAATGGATTCCCATTCTCAGATTCTTGGTATAGTACCTTATCAAGACTCCCATTAGGCATAAAGTCATAGACAAGAAGTAATTCTCCCTTCTCAATGCACCACCCCTGCAACTGAACTAAATTCTTGTGCCTTAAACATGCTATGATCGACAATTCAGCCCCGAACTCAGTTTTACTTTCGTGGCTGTGTTTAGATCTTTTCACTGCAGCGATAGAGCTCGAATCCATGAAAAAGGCCTTGTAAACAGTACCAAAGGCGCCATTGCCTATGATCCTACTTGAATGAAATCCTCTTGTAGCTGACCTCAGTTCCTTGTAGCTAAACTGCCTTGGTCCAGTAACAAGCTCAGCTGTCAAATTCTTCTCTGTGTTAAGGCCCCTCCATTTCTTGAAAGAAATCCAACCAAAAGCTACAAGAACAGCACAAAAGAAAGCTGGACCAGCAATTCCAAGACCCAAACCTAACCTCTTATGATGTTTATTGTCAGAATCTTCCTGAATAGTAGGGGGTTTCACTAACACAGAATTATCAGACACATTATGGGGATAATGCCTTGGCCTCATAGGACTAAATCCAAAAGTTTGAAAACTCCAATTCTCAATACAATGCAATTCAGTGCTTCCCTCAGTAGAAGCAGCAAACCCCACATACATAAACTCCTTTAGATAATCAGACAGGTCAATATCCACAGTCAAGAGTGGTTTTTTAGGCTTGGAACTTGAGTAACTCAAGAACACTAACAACTGCTTCTTCTCACTCTTGTAATCAATCCAAGAAGTAATCAAATTCCTACTTTTGAGATCAACACCAGCCAACTTTACATTAGCAGTCTTGATTGAGATAAGGCTATCTATATCAAGACCTACATGGTTATCATCAGGATCATTAAAGTGCAAATCTTGTCTAGTGTCAAACTCAACAGCAACAAACTTGTTCTTGGTTAATTGTGATGAATTAACCAGACCCAAGAAACCACCAGGACTACCTAAAGTCTGATTATCAGGTGAAAGGAAAAAAGCCAAACCATCTCCAAATGAAGATGGATTGATGTTATTGACTGAAAAAGCAAATCTTGTGGAAAAAGAAACTGTCTTTTTGGATTCTGGATCAAAGAATGAAATGGGGTTGTTGTAAATGAGAGAACCAGAGCTTGAAGATGGAACTTGAAGCTCTCTTGTTAGACCCACAACCCCATTTCTGAGATAAGAATCTCCAAGAAGTGTGAAATTTCTCAGTGTAAAAGATTGCAAATCAAAGCTGCAATTTTGTGATGATACCAATAGTGCACAGTACAAGAAGCTGAAGAAAATGGAGCAAGAAAAAAGCTTACTCATTGTTGACAACTGAAATAAAATCCAAGTGTTATGAAGAATTACAGGAAATCTTGAATTTACACATATTGGGGTTAAGAGAAGATAGGAGAAAAAGTGATGAGGTAGTGGAGATGGTGGGAATCTGAATGGGAAAATGGGGTATAAACGGTTAAGAAAATAGGCGCCTTTGGTCGGTTCTCTTAAGTTTGAAGAAAGAAGGAAAGAGTTTAATGAAACAAATATTAAAAAGTAAGAAAGAGAAAATGAATGAAGAATATAAAAGAGAAGAATATAATAGAGCTTACTATAATAAGTGTATAACGGTAATATAGGTAAAGCGGACGAATTTTGGGAGTGAGGGGTCCCTACTGCATATCTAGGATTTAGATATGTTTGTAATTATGGTATAGAGACGACCCAGTTGTATTTACTCGATGTGAATCTATAAGGTCCCACTTATCTCTATCATTGGGACTTAATGAAATTCAAAACAAGCCGTTAGTTTGACCAATTCGTGCATGTTTTTTTGGCTGTATAAATAAAATAAATAAAAGAAATTATGGAAAGAATAATTGTACTTCCTATACACCTATATTCTCTTAGTAGATTGCTACCATATTTTCTCGAATTACTTATCATGAGTTCATCTCTTTAAGGAAAACGAAAAGTATTTTGAATCGGTCAAGAAGCTTTATTTTTCTGAATTATTGTTAACTTTTACGGCTAAACTTTCAAAGACAATCTTTCTTTAGAGATGAAAGAAGGGCATGAACTTTTTGCATGTTGTATGTTTACTTTGTTTAAAATATTTTCAATCGTTTTAGTAGACGGCGATAGAATTGTTAGAACGGATATTCAAAGAACAGAATCGAGGTATATTGTTGAACAAATGTAATTCGCGATAGAATTGTTAGAACATGTATTCAAAGGACAAAATCGAGGTAGTGTTGAACAAATGTAATTGTTGAGTACTATTGCAATAAATTCAATGGCGTCAGTTATAGTGATCCAGCAAAGTGAAAAAAAATGCTCGCTCCTCAATTTTTGTGAAAGTTTAACTTCTAATTTCTTTTGCAAATGAGTTGCTTTAATTTAACACTAATGTGTCATAAAGTCATGCGCCTTAATAGGGCTAGAATATTTAGCCAATTGATACAGTTTACTATTTTACTTATAAGCATTATTTACTACTGTTTTGTTTTATAGTAATTGATTTATTAGCAGAATTATAATGAATTTATTAGCAGATAAACTTAACAGATGTTAATATGGGTGAACTCAATGGGTAGAAGCAATCAAACTCACAATCCTCGAATAGCACAGTAAAAGGTGATGAAACCTTAGAAAGTTGTGTCAGAGAATCACCAAAAGGGAACAATGGCCTCGATAATCAACAATGACACTGAATACCATGTGATTATTGAATCGACTTTCCAATTAGTTTAATCTAAAGAGTCTATAATACTACACTCATAGAGCCGTTGGAGCTCAATAAAAAAATCACATTTGATTCTGCAAAAATTAAAACACAATTGGAGACACTTCCATTGAGCTCTTGCACCAAATTTTGGGATGAAATGATTTCACTTTATTGATAACAACTTTGTAACTAGGGTGTGCCCACTGAGCACCCCACAATATTTCCACTTTCCGACCAAAAATATTATGTAAGGAGCGTTACTGAACAACACAAGTTGGAACTGAACCAAAGTAAATTCTTCCACTAATAAACTGAGCAAATTACAAACACTAATTGAACGTATTAAACTGGAATCAACGGACTTTTTAACACAATTCCCTAGCTAATTTTGCCTATTCTACTGCTCTTTAACTACTTTACCTCACCCAATTCACGCTTACGTGCTCCTAACCCGGGTTCCACACATTATTTACTAACTTCCCAAATGTGTCATCCGCTGTGATTTCTTTGGCCATTTCATTCATAACAACTTGTGATTATCTTCTCGTTTCGAATAAATATGTCCAAAGAAAATATTAAAATTCTACAAAAGACAGCCAAGTACTGCTATTACTGTAGTTCTGTTTTTAAATCAAGTTATGATGTACCAAAACTACTTGCCATATTACAAAAAATTTCAAGCCAACTTACATTGGAAAGGTTTTTGAATCACTGATACTGGAAGTGCACATTTCAAGGGGTAAAACGACAGCATGGACAGCTGTTAAAGCTTGTTTTGCCGAGCTGCATAGCAAGTCACCTTTCCATATGTACAATTTATGTATATAATCCTGCAAAAAAATAATAGAGGATTCGTAAATTCATGGCTTTTTTCCTGGATATGAGATAAATGCATGGAAGAAAAACTTCTTGGATAAAGAAACGACTGATGAAATCAGGCTTTATTTACTGCATTCCGTTTTACGATTAATCTGATAACAGACGTGCACGAAGTAAGTTAGGGAATTGCTTCTAGCAATGCCTTGAAATTTAGTGGCAGATTATCAGTGAGATGGAAAAAGAAAAGATTACCAGTGAGGAGAAAAAATCAGGTTCTGGAGATAATTAAATTTTTTGATGAAAATAACATTGAAGTTAAATATAAAATTGATACAAATAGTATGATCGACAACTGGATGGAGTTGGGGAGCAGAATGGGAGAAATGGGCTAAGAAATCCACTTATTGGTTGTCTCACACAAGAACCTCATAAAAGTCTTTTAGATGCATAGATATGATCACATTTTCATAATTCACCTTAATTGTTAGAAAAGGGGATTTTCAATTAAAAAAGAAAGGGTTTTTCCCCTCTAAAATTCTTTATTTTACCCCCAAGTTTAGTCTGGGTGGAAACAGCAACGAATAAGACCAATCAGCAGCTAAAATACAGAGAGGAGATCAAATTCCTGTCTTAAGTTTAAGGAAACGGATGATATAGCTAACAGCATAAAAAGTGTATGGCATACAGGACAGGGAAACTTCTCCAAATTCACACCAGAAGTCAATTCTAGTATATGGTTATGACAAGCATAAACAAGAAACTATGAATGGCAAGTTCGCATGGGAAAGAAGAGACAACCTTGTCTTCGAGCAGAAGCACTAGCCTTGTATAAACAAGTTCTTGAAGTCTAGGAAAACATAATCAGATCGGCGTATGTCTCTTCTGTAACTTCCTGGGCACAAGTACTACAAAGAAAGAAAGTTGCTAATTCTGAAAACAATCGAAGAAATGAGATGTTAAATATAAGGTGGAAAAAGATACCTTCATCCATACTGCAGAAACTTTCGGGGGGAAATATGGAATCAGGGTCAATTGCTTGCTGCAGAGGTAGGACATCAGCCACACTGAGTTTGCTGCATAAACAAGAAGAAATAACCAATTTTGGTTAAGAAGAATGTTAACAGGTACATAACAAGCTAAATAATACATATTCAGTGAGGATCTAAGAAATTATTTTCTCTACTGTTTGTAACTATCGAACATAATGGTCAGCTTACAATATAATGTAAAGCAAGACCTGAAGATTTATTGCTTCAGGTGCTAATAAAGAATTAATTTAATCACCTGGCCCAAGAGGGAACAAATTTTCGAATAGGTAGATCTTCATCCTCATCCTCGTCATCATCGGAGCACTGATACGGTGAGATCTCATATGATTTCTCTTGACTTTTCTTGGCAATGCATTCAGTGTTTGCATCAGGTTTCCCCAATACACATGTTGCCTATGCAAATAAAATGCATGCAAGTGTGAGGACTGAAAGCAAAACTCTATTTATGAACATTGGATCAGACAATATAAAACAAGCCTTCTTTCTATAATTAGTGAAATATAAGATTTTCCCCGGGTAAGGCAAGTGTCCCAAATGGATTGTAACCTAACAACTTCAGAATTCTGAAGAAAATAGAAAACGGGCATGCCTAACAGATCCCAGAATACGATCAAAAGGCTACAAATAGTTTGAGCAGTAGCAGCACAGCGCTTGTTTGTATCTCAATCAGGTAAGTTCTTTATATTTGGCACAATATTGAACTGTCACTAATTCTGTTAGCAGATAGTGATTAAATAACATAGCCATTTTTGATAAGGAGAAATAACAAGCCATTATTCATCTATATTATGAACTTGCTATGGGATGCATTGTCATTTAACTTTCTCCTGTGAAAGTTTCTGTAGAAAATAGAAAATGGAAGAGGGCAGGCCTAGAGTTCAGAGAATACAATAAAATGGCTAGGATTGTTTGGGCAGTAGCAGCACACAGCCCAGTTGCATCACAAGCAGGTAAGCTCCTTGACTTTGGCACAATAATAAATAGTCAACCAATTTTGTAGCATACGAAAAAAAGGCTTCAGACCTAAGTCCACTCCTTGCTCAGCACTATCGGATTGTGCTTCCTTATGTCAACTAACTTCACTTTCAGAGTAGAATGACATATGCGAATTGCATATGCATCTCATACATAATATTTTGTGAATGTCTATTAGACAAAGCAAGATCTATCCTTGCAAAATGAACTGGAATTTGCTTCTCTATGGGATGTGTTTCTCTCTTTTTCTAATGATGCTTTGCTAGGTTGCTTCTTGACAAAAGTCATGCTGGACTGCAGAGATTAAAGCCTGTCCACTAGAGAAACTTAGATATGAATCAGATAAATAGAGGAGTAGATACTAAAAAGTAGTGGAAGAGAAAGGAAGAAACAAGGACAAATGAGTATGTAAAGATTGTCGTTTTTTGGTATACTGCTAATAAAGGAGACCTTTTCAAGTACACTGGATTCATTGTTGATGTTTCGGCAGGAAACACTTGCTAGGGAGCACAGTCAATGCTTTGAGAGTGTCTATTGAAGGATGGGAGCTCAAAGTAATAGTGAAAGAAGACGTGTCAAAACAAAAGCCCCCTGGGATTTTGGAACTCAAATCTTACAATGCAAACAGGGTTACAAGGTATAGATAGCCTAGTTCCTACAGATAGCAGCCAATCATAACTTTTTTCTTGGTGGGGTGGGGATAATATAGTGATGCTGCAGAGAAAAGCAAGTGCACATCGTGGACAATCAGAACTTGTAAAGAACTTAGCTACTGATCAGCTACTAGCTAAGACGTTTCTATGGAGATGCATACCTTTTCATGATCAGCAGAAGTGTCAGAAACGTGACATTTTCCTGGTGGTGTTGTTGCTTGAAATGAATCATTTATCACAGGTTCCGCCGGCTTGGGTTCACTCTCCTGCTTCTTGAAGGTCTTTCCTACTCTTTCTTTTT